GAGCTCCACAGGTCTACCCAAATGAATTTTAACATGTTCAAGTCATCCTTTTATGCTCTTCTTGGTCAAGAGTGGCATTCGGCAAGATGCCCCAACATGGAGGCCATACTTGTCTAGTGTTCTTCTTATACTCTGCATTAAAATTTTTGCCCTTCTTTCATCGGGTCATCTTGCAAGTCTTTGGCTGTACATTGCAGATTTTTCAGTTGATCTGATCAAATTTATTATAATATTGTGCTTTTTCTTCAACACACTCAAAGGTTTTCTGCTACAACACATTTTAAGCTAAGGAATAAAGCTGTCTGCTGTGTCTCTAGGAACCTTTAATGTCTTGGAAATCTTCATGTAGCCTTAGAATTTCTAATGTGATAAAACTATTTCTTCTATAGCCAGGGCTGGATTTATCTCTTTTCGTGACATAGGCAAAACAAATTTTTGTGCCCCCCTTCCCTATTAATATGTTAGGCCTAATATTACCACCCAAGCAAACAAAAATATTTCTTAATCAGTGGAAACTGTTACAGTGTTTTCTATCGCAATGAGCGCTTACGTTCAGTCAATAAAAAAATCGAATGTAGTTCTTAATTTGTTTGAGAACTGAGAAAGACCGTTCCATATAGGTGCAGCGATGTGGCCACATAATAACCACTTCGGGAATGCATTATTTCTCTTATAATTTAAACGGCCTGGAGTCACAACCACACATCAAGACATTGCTCAGATGACATGTTTCCGTCCTGAAATCTCGTGTTGAACTAATTATTATTATCTTTCATACAGGCTTTCTTATAATGTTTTATTGAGTCTTTACTGCACTTTATCTGTATATGTGGAGTGTTTGTTGTGTGTTTTTTATTGTGTAGTGATTTGTATTTATTTTTATCTTTGCTTGCTTGTGAGGTGACCTTGGGTGTTTTGAAAGGCGCCATTAAATAAAATGCATTATTAATTTTTCATGCACCTCATTCCAAACCTTCCGTTGCAAATTCCAAAACGTAATTTTAGAGCTAATAATGTAGGCTTGAGCCATTGAAATGCAGGCTAATGCAGTTATTAATTAATGCAGTCTCATGCGGTTATTAGAGAGAGAGAGAGAGAGAGAGAGAGAGAGAGAGGGAGAGGGAGAGGGAGAGAGAGATTAAGCGCGTGTGAATACTAGCATTTGTGCGTCTCTCAGCAGCAGCGTCTACTAATTGCGAATCTTTAAGTTAAACTGCTTCAAGAACCTCGCAACTGAGAAATGCTATGTAGCTTTTCAGCTGCGAAATTCGCGGGGCAGCACTGATGACAAGTTTCTGTTCGCGTCTTCACGTGTAGATAGCCCATAGTATAACAAAAATATTATATATCTCTTCACTGTGTTTGGGCCCCCCTGGATGAGCGAACATAGGCACGTGCCTAGAATGCATGCGTATGCCCTGTCTACAGCTTTTGAGAGAGCTCTGTTGAATTTGCAGAATTGCTACTCACGTCAGCACATGTATGGGCTGAGTTTATGTATGTGCAACAGCTCAAGCTAATTCAAGCTAGTTTTTTAATAGAGCTTCTAAAGGCTTAATTGTGTTTTAAGACAATTTGGTTCCCCACCATACAAACAAAAGTGACTTAAAAACAGCAATGTTGAATAGGGGTTGGATAATTATGGCATAGCTGTGTTATAAAAAAATCCTATAACTCAAAATATTACATTATACAGTATATACAAATTTTCACTTTTAATATGCCACTAAACTGTTATAGATGCAATTTTTATAAAATCCTGGATCTTCAGAAAAGCTTGTATTTGTAAAGTACTGCAGTCTCTGAGGGGGTGAATAATTTTGATTGCAACTGTATGATATGACAATAGTAAGGCCTGTAGATAGGGAGTATGTGTTAGTTAAGAAAAATATAATTATATTTTCAGAATGACATTTTTTTTTTCAAACGTAGTCTGGGGGCCCCCAGGCTTAATTACTGTAGCTACTCTGTCCTTAACAGCAAATCCTTTGTTTTCCATCAGATGCATTTTAACGAGTTGGTTGAATAAAAATATTTGGACTTTATATTTAAAAATTACCTCAAGTTAGCATCAGGTAGCTTGTTAGCAAGCCAGTTAACATCAACTAACAATATTTTTCAAATAGGCTATTATAATTTTGTAATGAATAATTATTGATTATATTCTTCTTAATTTTAAGCTAAAACTGCCTGTACTCTGATTTTGCTGTAAATGTATAAAGCAAATTGCTTTTGTCAGACAGGTACAAACTGAATTTTTGTTAAAAATCTAATAACATGAAAACTCTGGACATTTTTGATACATGGTTTATCATTTATGTCATTGTCACTAAAACTATGATAACCAGACCCATTTAACTTTTGTTTCACAGAAAAAAAAAATCTATTGATTTTTTTTAATCAGAAAAAATGCCACACATTTTTTCTTTTCAAATCATGTTTTTATTCCTAATATTAGATGTAGATACACAAGTCAAGTTTTCTTGTTTAGATCAGTAATGAAAAATGCTCCACAGCACACTTGCCCCCAAGTGACGGGGTTTAATATTACAGACGAGAAACTCAGCAGGAATAGGCTGCAGTTTTACAAGAGGTGCAGTTGCAACAGTAGTAGTATTAATAATAGTAATATTAATGATGACTTTTATTAATAATAATAATAATAATAACAATAATAACAACAACAGATAATAGTAGTGATATTAACAACTCAGATTTAAAATCAAGAATGGAATCAATATTCTTTAATAAATGGAACCAATTTTAAATGGTTTTGGTTGGATAATTTTTTGAAGATGCATTAAAATGTTGTAAATATAATACTATTTGATGAGGGGGGAAAATCTGCTTAAAAAATCCCAGATTTGATCAAATCTAATGCTTAGTACTTTGAAGCCACACTCACTTTTACTGAGAGATTAGTTTCCTCCCATTGAATTCACTGTATTCGTGTATTGCAATATAATTACATTTCATTTCCCCTACAATTTTCCACACCACACTCTTAAAAATAAAGGTGCTTCACGATGCCATAGAAGAACATTTTTGTCTAAATGGTTCCATAAAGAACCTTTCTGTTTCACAAAAGGTTCTTTGTGGCGAAAGAAGGTTCTTCAGATTATAAAAACGCAAGAAAGAGATGGTTCTTTAAAGAACCTTTGACTGAATAGTTCTTTGTGGAACCAAAAATGGTTCTTCTATGGCATCGCTTGAAGAACCTTTTGAAGCACCTTTATTTTTAAGAGTGCAGTCCTTTGGAATGTATACAAACAGACTCAATTTTCTAGATTCTCTTATGTGCCAACTAGCAAAGCAAACTGGGTTAAAACCAATCACACTGGATAGTGTAAAATGTGAGAGAAAGAATAGAAAGTAAAAGTTTTCAGATAAAGTAACTCTGATCAAAAGAATAGATAAAACTCAACAGCACAAATGAGAGACTAATCCAAAGCAACACATTGGCTTATTTCAGGAAGCAATTCAGCACACAGTCCCAAACTGCATGTGCAGGCTCAGATTAAATGACAGTATTCTGTGTGAACAAAAGCACTGGTCTACAATGAAATCATTGTACCGCGGTGTTTTTATCCTTGAGGATGGAGAACATTAGATCAATCCAGAGAATAATGTTTCATAACGGTGATTCCAAGCTCCTAATTTCTTACTTGGAGTGAGTCACAGGTTCATGTCACTGAATGGAGTGGAAAATGAGTTTCAGTGGTATTGTCCAATCACTGAAAACTGGAAAGAGGCTGCTTGTGGACTGGACAAGGTACAGTAGAGAGTTCGTTCACATCAAACTTCACTGCAAAAAAAAAAAGAAAAGGGGAACACCCTAGTTCAGCTTTCGGTTTACAGTGTCTTCGTGTAGACCCCTTAAATGCATCTCCAAAGGAAATGGCGAGATGAATGACATAAGAGTGGACATGGCTCAATACTCCACACACCTCAGAGGAAGGGGCTTCATTGTATGACTCACGCTAATATTAACACAGCAAGGCAAGCTTTCTCACAATCATATGAGGCTGAAAAATCTTTATCCTACAAAAATACTGTTTTCATGCCACAGTGGGTACACTTGTTACCAATACATCATGCATTTAACTGCAAAAGTATGTCTGAATCCTGTCTTCTATGTTGCTATTGATTCTGCCTCTGTGTATGCAACTTACGGGACAGGAGGGAGTCTCCTGGTGGCCGCAAGTATAAAACCTACAATTATATAAGTATGTGGTAAAAATTTCACATTCCTCCAAGGACGATAATTTATAGTAACTTGTGATGTACAAATAAAGGGAACAGATCCTCTCAATCAACATGAGCAGGGGAAAAATTGTCGATTTGGTCCATATTAAGAATACCTCAATAATTTTGTTTCTCGTTCAGAGTTGAAGCACATTCACAACCGATATACCTGAAAGCACACACATACACTCACACACACCTAAAAATACAGCATCAACCTCAAGAGCATCACTGACACTAACCCAACTTCAGCCGTCATAGAGGTTCATCCCTGTAAAATATTTAAAGTATAGGGTTACGAGACAGAAGCTGACGCCTGAGAATATATTCCGATAGGAAACTTGGTCAACTCAACTCATATTCAACACAAAATAACAAGAAAAAAAAAATGCCCGTCCTCAAATTCTTTGTTTGTTGATGCAAGTTTAATGTTGGCTTGTGCAAGTGATTCTTGTGTTGTGTTCGTTTGCTTTCGAGCAATTGTAAAACCAAAGTCCAAACCACAGCATCACACCTCAATTTCAATCTTCACAACAAACACTTTTCTGGTCTAAGAAGAGAACAGGATGAAGTGGTTAAAGGAACATGATGAGCTAAAGAAACAAACCACACAATAAGAACGCATACTCTATCTCTTAATGGAAATGAAAGAGAGAATATAAAGATAAAATAAAAAATAAAACCATCATAAATAGTGGATTTTTAACTTTTTCTTTAACTTTCAAGCTGAAAAAAAAAACCTACTTGGAAAAAAAAAAATTCAACAGTCATATCTAGAAAAATGAAAAGGAAAGAAAATCTTCTGTCAGAAGAGCGTGTAGATGAAAGGAAAAAAGACGAGCACAAAAGGATTCTTTCTGCTTTGACCTCTCTGAACATGAAATCATACCAACTATAATTACAATTTCTTTAAATATTCAACTTTAAAATGACTCAAAAATGCAACAGCAAATAAACAATATTAATAATAGCAATAACAATTAAATCTTTAGTTATAAGTATAATACCAAAAAAAAAGAAAAAAGAAAAGAAAAGGATCGCGGTCCTTCACAAAGAAAGTGAGAGGTTGAAGTTAAGACAGATAAAGGAAATCATCAGGGGAAACAGACAAAATAGCAATCTCGGTCATTACAGTAGAGAAACGCCACCTAACCCAAATATAAAATAATTTTTTGGGGAAAAAGTTAAAAAGGAAGCCAGTCAAATTGAAAGGTATGAGCTGAACTTTCAGGATGGATCTTGGTCTGGGAGCTGGTCTTGTTCAGGGACTCCCTCAGTTCAGAGCTCACCGTCCGGCCAAAAGTGGCATTTAAACAAGGAGGTGAGACTGAACAAGATCCATGTGTGAAATGAGACGAATTAAAAAAATTAAAAAAAAAGAGTGTGGGGAAAAAAAAAAAGGGCAAAAACAATGTATCACAATGTGACATGAGAGTTTTCTTTGCCTTTTCTAACTTGATCAGTTTCTTTTGAGTGTTGACAAACTCCCATCTCTTGCTTGGCTCCCTGTTGAGATCTGTGATGTATTTGGGTGCTTATTTCTTCTTGCCAAAGAAACTGAAACGCTTCTCGCGGTCTCTCTCTTTGCCGTCTTTGTTGCGCATGGTCACGCCTCCTGCCTCACCCGAGCTGGGAGACATAGGTGGCATGGTCATCGCCCGACTCAGACCTCGTGTGGCACCCGGCGAACGCTCGGTGGACGACAGGGATGATAGGATTGCTTGAATCCATGAACTCATCTCAGCCTGAGGGAGTGAATGATTGCGTCACGATATGACAGGAGGCTCTTTTTCTAAAACTTAACATAAGAGAATGACCTAGAAACATCCTTTGCTAAACTTACCTCATCCTTTGCTTGGAACAAAAACTCTTTTCCATCCCCAAGCCTTTAAAATAAAAAACATTGTGTCACATGCTAAGAACTTCCTTCTTTTCTTGTGTATTTGCGGTTTCATAAATACTGATTAAAATCTACTAATTTCTCCCCTCATCTCTTTCTCACCTAAGTTTAAATACATATTTTCTCTTCTTGTAGTCGTGGGCAACCTCACAGACAGCCTCGCTGAGGCTGATGGGAACCTCTCCGTGGTAGGGGATTCCATTCGCGGCACTCTTGTTGTCCTTATAGAAGCCCAGACTGCTTTTACGTAAAACGCAATATACATTCTGCCACGATCTACAAATGCAGAGAGAGAAAAACACACCCTTTACACAATTATCCTGATTAGGTTCTCTCAATCATTCCTTTTATAATGTATCTGCTTCCGGTGTCACCTGGTGGCTGCTTTTTTGTTGTGTGATTCCATCTCCTGTTTCCTGCAAAGGATGCCCTCCATGGCTTCTGTGGTGGCATCTGCTCCTCCTCGCCCTGGCAGTGTTGCTGAAGGGTCTTGGTGTGATGCTGAGTCCAGACCGCTGTCACGGCCCGGCCCATTAACAGATTCTGATTCTGATCCCTGGTTGAGCGAAACATGCTGCAGTTAGGAGACGTCACAATAATGCACTGTTTCTATTAACTCAAATATTGATTAGGTCACTATTGTACTGGTCTACACTATTGTTATTCGCTAAAGCACTTTTTTTGTTCACTTTTTGTTACTTTAACTCTTCAAACTGTTCATTAAACAAAATACACTCACATATATACTAAATGTTTTGGGTTGGTAAGATTTTTTAAATGTTTTTGAAAGTCTCTTATGCTCACCAAGACTGCATTTATTTAATCAAAACTACAATGACATTATGAAATATTATAACAATTTAATATTTTCTATTTAATATTTTCTAAAATATATTCTATTTGAATATATTTTAAAATCTAATATTAAAGCTGAATTGTGAGCAATCATTCTAATCTGCTAATTTGGTGCTCAAGAAACTTTTCTTATATATTATTAATGTTGAAAACAGTTGTTTCTGCTTAATATGTTTGTGTAAGATGTGATATTTTTTTTTCAGGATGAATAGAAAGTTCAAAAGAAAGCATTTATTTGAAATACAAATCTTTTAACAATGTGAAAGTCTTTACTGTCACTTCTGGTCAATTTAATGAATAAAAGAATACACGCATTCATTTCTTTAGAAAAAATCTTACTGACCCCATATAATACATGTCCCATCTCAGTATTTTCATAAATTAACCTATACCTAATTTTTTTTCTGTGACAAATTTTTGAGATATAATTCCTGACTGATCACAAACAAATATTCCTTGCTGATAATTTTATATGACCAATGAGCAGATCTGAATCAAAATATTCAAACTCAGTGTGCACAATATGTACATGCACACAAAGGAAAGCGAAGGCACACTCAAAGACATTAAGTAAAAACAGAGACTATAAACACACACACACACACACACACACACACACACACACCAACAAGACCAGAATGGGAGGGGACACATGGGGGGCAGTATGGACAAGCCTGGGGTATGTGGGGGTAAAAATGAAATAACACTGCTACAAAGACACATCTGCCTAAAAATAGTTAGTCAAACTAATTTCATATCCTAAGCCAAATAAGTAAATACAAATGTTAGGAAAAAATTGTTGCCTTGGAATAAAGCAAAATCCGACGAAACTGAAGGAAATAAAGAAAAAGTGTTTAATGTGAGAGTTGGATTAGTAGGGAATTAGTTCAGTTGTTGTGATGCACCCAAACACTATACATACATAATGTAAGTTAAGGGTCCCTGACAACAAACAGCTAAACAACAGCATTACACAGAACAACAAAGACGCCTTTTAACATCATAAAGTAGAAATTTATATGTGATAAAGTGCATCGCAAACACTGATGTTAAAGCTCAGGCCTAAGAAAGAAAACAATATTACACGTTCAACATTACACTAACCAAATACAAACAAAGAAAAGCACAAGACTGATCCACTGAAAGCAATAGGAAGCAGCAGAGCTGTGACTTTGCCCTCTAGCAGGTGTGGTATAGCTGCCGACATGCTGCAAGCTGCTGGGTTGTTAAGCACAAGCAGCGATGCTACACTACGGCTACAGGCTGGCGCTACGGGGTTAGTACTCACACGCTCCTGTGCCTTGTGGGGTTTAGGCACAAGTTTAGAAACTGGGTTAGACTGAGGATTACTCTCTGGTTTAGGTTCAGGTTTCTTGAGTTCAGACACAGAGACCGATAATGACTGCAGATAAGAGACGTCACAAGAATGTGTGTTAACATGCGAGTGTGTTAGAACTGGCACTTGTGTGTGTTGAAATATTGTTCTGACAAATAAAAGGACATCCACACAGTATGAAAACGTACTGATTGTTTTGTTAGACACTCGTTTTGTTGTGACATTCTCCCACACTCAAAGAGACTCAAGAGTTTACAGCAGAACATTAATATGAACATAAATAATTGAGAGGAACAAGGAAACAAGACACTGAACACACAACAAGACTGAACAGTTGAGACCAGGACTGTGACATGCGTCTTGACATGAATTTTAAAGGGGACATCGAATGCAAAATTCACTTTTACATGGTGTTTGCATATAAATGTGTCTTAGCAGTGTGCGGACACAACCCCCCTACAATGATTCATTCAATACTTTTTTTTTAATCCCCAAAAAACCTAAACAGTCTCAATAATCAAGCCGTTTTGATTTTCTGAGCAATATGATGTCATACTGCTCAGGCCCCGCCCACGACCGCTAACAGACTGTCCTGTATTAGCATATTCCCGCCCTCAGCCAGTTGTACGATGTTGGCCACTTTCTCCACGCTCGAGCAGCTGTAGCGACAACAATGTCTCGTAAGCAATGCAGGTGTTTTGTAGTTGTAAATGTGAACATAAGACGCTCCTTTTTCTCCTGACATCAGAGCCACTGAGGACTAATGGTAATGGTAATGCACCGAATAAACCTAAATTTGTTTATGTCTGCACAAATCATTTTACTCCAGACTGCTTTCTGAATGAGGGACAATTCAAGGCAGGTTTTGCTAAAAAGTTCAAACTCAAGGATGGATCAGTACCCACTGTTTGTGATCCAGCTGCATCTCCAGAAGAAGTCAGTCTCGCACATTATATTTTTAATGATCATTTGCTAATCGCCCTTCCTCTTCCATGGAAGAGAGGGGTGGGGTGAGCAGAGCTCATTATCATTTAAAGAGACATGCACTGAAACGGGTCGATGTGTACAGAGCTGTTTTTGATAAGGTAAAAAGAGTGTTGTTTTACACGACCACGACCAGGAATTTTAACTAAAGTATGTTGCAGACTTGTGGAAAATGGGCATCCGATGTCCCCTTTTAAAACGGTGTCTGTATACTTACTAACATATAATGTAAACGTGTATGAAGTGAATGCATATTTGGATCTATTATGGATAGAGAATTTAATATAAGCACAGTGTGGAGCGTATCTGACCTGTGATGTGTCCTGGTCACTGTAGACACCATTGACAGATACTGACTGGTTCAATGTAGTCTGGTCCAGACTCGTCCTTAAAGATAAGCCAACGTACATAAACAAAGTTACAACCAAAAGTATGTTTTGCCACACCTGGCAATAAAAATGTGGCTGTTTAGCCTAAACCAACAGTGTGATTTAATGTATTTACTAATAAAATAAGAAAAAAAAAAACTTAAATAAATAATCTACCATTTGAAATTTGGGGGATGGAATTAAAAATTTTTTTTTTTTTAAAGTTTTTACTTGATCAAAAATACAGTAAAAGCATTAATGTCAAACTTTATTTTAGGATCCAATTCTCACTATTAACAAACCATTAACTACGACTTTTGCCTCAATAAAATCCTAAATTGCTGCTTATTAATAGTTAGTTGTTAAGTTTAGGCATTGGGTAGGATTAGGGATGTAGAATATGGTCATGCAGAATATGTGCTTTATAATTACTAATAAACAGCCAATATATTAATAATAGGCATGCTAATAAGTAACTAGTTAATAGTGAAAATCGGTCCCTATACTAAAGTGTTACCAACATTAATATTGTGAAATATTATTACAATTTAAAATAATTGTTTTAGATTTGAATAGTTTTCAATATTTTATATGATTTATTTTTATATTTTAAATGTTATTTAAAATTATTCCTGTGATGGCAAAGCTGAATGGCTCAGCATCATTACTCCAGCCTTCAGTATAATATGATCCTTCAGAAATCATTGTAACATGCTGGCTTGAACAAGACAAGAAACATTTATTTAAGTGCTCCTTACTATTTTTGTGGACAATTGTGATATATAGAATGTTTAAATTAAGAGAATTTATTTGATATTGAAATATTTTGTGACACTATAAATGTCTTTACTGCCACTTTAATGCATCCTTGCTGAATAAAAAATCCCCAAACTTTCAAATGGTAATGGTTTTATTTCATTTCCAAAGACCATTTCTACTTTCTTAGTGCTTGTTTAGTGTTTTTCATGCTGGAAAAAAAGGATAGTTGAGTAGAATAGTACAGTCTATTTTTTTTACCTTGCAGCAGAATCGTTCATCTCAGACTGTACTACCTCTTCCATGGGGGGAGGTGTGGGTGGTCGTCGGGCCCTCTCTTCCTCTTCCCTTCTTCTTTGAATTTCCTGTTCCTCCAGCTGACAGAGAATAACATGAGAGAGCATTATTAGATTAGTAAAAAATGGCAGATTCTATAAATGATGCTAGCATTATTTTACAAATCCTGCACTTTTGTTGGTGTAAGTGTGTATTTAACAAACCGTGGTGAGTTTCTCTAGCTGTGTGAAACGATCTTCCCAGCCTGCTGCCAGCTTTTCAAAGGCTTCGTGGCGTTTGATAAGACACTCAACTTCATCTACGTTAGAGCCCAATTCTGCTGCCCTGACCAGTGGCTCCTGTCCAGCCAGCCACGACTCGGCCATAGATGCATCCCTGCTGAACTGTAACACCTCCAGAACTAACACACACACACACACACACACACACACACACACACACACACACACACACAGAAACAGAGGAATACAAAGTATGAGGAATCACATAAAAGTGAGGATGTGTCACATTGTCAAACAATTTCATAATATAAGTATATAATATATAACAGTTATATCAAAACTGCCACCTTTGATGTAAATCTCATTAGCATGCCACCAGCCACAGAAACAAGCTTCCTCCCACATACTCACCGATCTGTAAGTGGTCCATTTTCTCTTGCCACTTCTGATTAATTTCAGTGCGTTTGGCCAGAAGCTGGTCCAATTTCTCTTGAATCTAGAAATCACAGACATCCAATTACCTCACAGTGTGTGAGTGGGTGCATGTGGGTTTCCTTGGCTAACATTCAGTGATTAAAATGTGTGTGTATGTGTTATCTTGCCTGGAGCAGACATGTGCATGTTCTTTGGTGTGTATATGATGCGGACAGACCTCATCTGAAGCATAGTGGTTGTTGTTGGTGAGGGTGTGTCCCATTTCACTGCATGCAGTAAAGCTGTCCGCTCTAGTCTCTATCTCAGACTTAATATCCTGATGGTTGGCGATGACCAGACCAGCTGAGGAGACATCCCTACAACAAAACAGGGCATATATGACTCTCATCAGTTGTAGACTTACTCTTGTAATTTCTTCTTAAACCAATTACTAATAACTTTACTTGTACAGTTGTGAGGCATTTTTATATTGTTGTGTGTACTTAAATGTATGACTTCTCAGTGTGTCACTGTATACACACTAAGTGATATACTGAAGTAATATAGCACAATATTACTGCTTTTACTGTATAGCTGATCAAATGCAGTCTTGGTGAGCATAAGAGACTTCTAAAACATTTAGAAATCTTACCGACCCCAATGTATTTTTTGATTTTGACTTCACAATGTATGCTTGAATGTACCTTGGGCTGTCATGTGACTGGATCTGCAAGTTGATTCCTTCCATCCACAGCATGAGGTCTCTGGCCATGTTTAAGTATCTGAACTTCTCCACTGTGTCTAGTAGGAGCAGCCGTCTGGCTTGAGTGGCAGACTGAAGCCCCTCCCAGGCCTCTGTGACTGCACGCTCGTGGCGATGGATATCATCAGCTTTCTCTCCAGCGTACGCTTTCTGCAGACGTGCAGCATCATCCTGAACCTGTGTGACCTGCAACGAGGAGTCAAAGAATGTTTCATCTTTTGACACAATTAAAATCAAGTCATCAGAAAATGTAAAACATATATGTGAAAAGGTTAAATGAAGGCTCTCACCTGCCCGCTGAGTGCCTGCACATCATGCTCATACGCCGTATGCTGTCTAAGCAAGTGCTGGACAGTGTTCAAGTCCCGTCCGAGTTCGGCCCCAGCTAGTGTCTCCTTCTTCTCCCGTATGAGCCCCAAAGCTTCCCGTGCGTCCTGGTGGAAGCGGTGCAGCTCGTATGAGGCGGCAAGCATCTGTGTGCGCGTGTCAATGAGCTCCAGCAGGTCAGCCCAGGCCTCATTGAGCCCGTCCTTCCACTCAGCCACACTGGCGTTTTCTGGATGACCAGACTCAATAAGTTCATCTGCCTGAGCGTTCACTGCATCCACACGCTCCTGGCCAATGTTGCTGGTGTCCCGCGCAAACTCTCGGAACTTGTCACGCAACATCTGAAGGGTTGAGAGAGAACATCCAGAATTCTAGATTGCATGGTATAATCTTTAAATAATGTTTAAAGAAACAGTATTCACGTAAGATGATCAATCGAATGAAGTTTTTGTAATTCGAGTAGTGAAGATTTTGGAAATGAGAAGGAAAAGTAGATTTCATACCGTCACATGTTCATAGTCTTGTCCGAGTTCGTGAGACCCAGCGACAACCTCTCTTTCGGCGATCCACTGCTCTAAATCATCTACCTCTCTCTTCAGCTGGGTCAGTCTCAGTCTCTCCTGCAGTTTGCCCCTCCTCTCTTCTGCCAGATCCTTCAACCCTGCGTACAGTTTATCCACCTGGGCCTGCCTCAGAGTAATTCTTTCACTATAAAAGGGAGAAAGAAAAGGGATTATACCAACATGTCAAATGCTTTATTTGACAGTCCAGAGATCCTACTATGCCCCTCACCTCTCTGGGTGTTCACTATTCACCATAAGTCTGCTGCTATTGGCCAGCTGATGGATGGTTTGAGCGTAGTCCTCTAGAGCCTGCTCCAGAATCTGGTGTTTCTTCACCATCACCAAAGCACTCTGCTCATCCTACAACAACCATTATAAAAACTTTAATCACTGTATACGTAAACACATAGAAAACAGCAAAGCACTTTAGTAAAGTACTTAAGTAAACTCATCAGAACTATAACATAGACTAGCTCTTTAAATAGCTGTTACAAACACCTGCATAGTACAGTCTTACTGACCTTTGCCTTTTCCTCTGACATCATATGAAGCTCTTGTTCTCCCATCCAGGCCTCAGCCTCTGCAGCATCTGTGTAAAACTGCTGCGCTCGGTTAGCCGCTTCTAGCCTCACATTCCTCTTTTCCGTCTCAGAAATCAAAAGGGCCCACAATTCCCTCAGCTCCTCCAGACGCCCATCAAGAGCCGCTCTTCTCTCCCTGTCCATCTCTGAATCCTTCCCAGGGGACATGGTCCTACCATGAGCCTGGATGTCATCTATACGGGGCTGATGGCCCTGAATCTCCTTTTGCAGAGTCTGGGGGAGATCAATCAGGCAGCGAAAAAGAAAGTGGAAAAGGTTACTGAGAGGATCAAAAGTAAACACTTTTTTTATAGCTTCAAAAACACAGATTGAGCGATTGATAACCTGATTCTTTTTGATGAGCAGCTGGACACTGGGCAGATCTTTACCGTGGTCTGTGGATGTGGCGAGAGGCATCCTCTCCTTCACCCATAACTTCAGACAAAAACATAATTACTTTCAGAATCCTGTTTAACCATTTTTGCAAATGAATATTGTGCATATGTATAAAATTGATGTAGAATTCTAAATTTTCACTCAGCAAATGCTATTAAATTTCACAAATAATCCAAAAGAAACGTCAAGTAACATTCAATTAAACATGCAATTTTGAAATAGAAAGACTGAGGGAGTAATTTCTATGTAAAATGTGCTCCAATCTTTTATAACTTTGTGTAAAAAAAAAAAAAAAGAGATTTTTCAGTGTAGCAGTTTTTGCATGTGATTTACAATTTCATCCTCAAGGTCTCTGTTGAACTGATGAGCCTCTTTTGAAGCAAGAAGACGCTGCCTCCGCTGTCTTAGAGGGTCCTGCAGTTTAGAGAAGCTGTCTGTCACCCGTCTCTGCTGCCCATCAACCTCCATTATCCCAGAATCCTCTTGGGCCAAGGCCAGAGCCTGTGACTGCAGAGACTGGACCTCTTTCTCACGCACCTCCATCTGATGATCCAGCATCTGAGACACGCACAGGTACAGGGTCACATAGGGGGTCATTAGGTTTCAAATATATCTGCTTACACAGAATAAAACATATTTCACATTTTTTCCTGGAACTGTTCAACATCCAAAATGTTCTTGTGAGTCCCACAGACTACAAGATGGTTTGATTTCACACTAAAGTGGTCTGTCTCGAGTAGCGATATTTCTACTTGGCCTTGGATTTACCTGGTGTTTCTTGAGCAGGATGTTGACACTTGTGAGATCTTTTCCGAAGTCATCACTTTGGAGTTTAGAGGAGATGTTCTGGAGCCAGGAGTCCAGAGCTGAGCAGCTCTGCGTGAAAAGTTCAGTTCGGTTAGCATCAAACAGACACTGAGCTTTGGCTTGAGTGGTGCTCTCTAGCTCCTCCCACTGCTTCTGCAGGCTGCTCATAGTCTCTGATACAGTCTGCTCCAGCTCAGGCTTCTCCTTTACTAACACCTGACCCTCCTGCGAGAACAAGAAAAAGAGAGACAAAGTCATTGTAGTAGTTTTGACTTACGCAGTTCTGCTCGTGAGTTCACATGCCTTGTGTTTTTTGCTTATTTAGTATGGCCCTGATGAAGCTATTTGACGAATTCTGGATATTTACACACATTCCAGGATTCCCACAATTTTTGAGCATTGAATTTCCATAACATTTCCAGAGTTTCCACACAAAGAGAAATTTCTAGCAAATTAAATATATTAGAGCTGATCATTGCCAGTTTTTTATAAATCACCATTTCAAAACCTGTATTGGCATTCAGAGGTACATCAGATATCCAAAATCACTGGAAGAGATGTGCATGGGAATATACCTTGTCAATCTTGTCCAGCCAGTCTTTATTGGAGGCTAGCTCTGCCATGAAGGCCTGGTGCTTCTGCCACTTGCTGTGGAGGTTTCTAGCCTCATCATAGGACATGTCCTGAGCTGTCAACATTTTCTCATTTATCCACAAAGTCAGCTAAAGAGATGGGCATAGAAAAGAACAATTATTAAATCACACAAAAGGCTTTTGTGGCATCACTGGCTTCATCCTGTAGAAGGTGCTATGGTTCACTGGTGTCATTTATTTCAAAGCGTCATCTTTCATAATGTCAGTCAGAAGGACTTTGTCTCATAATGCAGTCAGTATAATGGATATATGTAGTCTTGTTTGCTCTGTATTTTGTGTTATTACCTCTTGTCCATCCTGTAGGAAGTGCTGCAGCTCTCTGTTATCCTTCAGTTTAGCTAGCAGCTCACTGGCAGCTTGTTTGTTCTTCTGGTGCCTGAAGGAAATCGAGAGAGAACATGAGAAGAAAAACATGGTGTTATTTGGAATGGATTTACTGGGTTTGCTGAGGACCGGCACATCATCAATGCATACATCATTGACAGGATCAAATAATAGGCTGCAACCTATTTATTCCTATGATAGCAAACTGAATTTTCAGCCATAACTCCAGTCTTCAGTGTCACGTGATCCTTCAGGAATAATAATATGCTCATTCAGTGCCAAAGATTAAAGTTGAAAACAGATTATTATAATGTGGAAAATAGTTGTGCTAACTGAAAATTTTTTAGAAAATGTCTTTAAAAAAATCTTACTGATACCAAACTTTTGTTCTATCTATCTATATCACATATATTATTATATATATATACATATTCAGCAAAAAATAGATATATTGTGGCATTGTTGTAAAATTACAGTGATTAAATTTCTAAATTAAAAAAATACTCATAACATGATGATTTAGGTCTTCTTATCAGTTGTTCTGTTCTTGCTCACCTTTCCTGAATGGAGTCTGTCTTCTCCTGAATCTTGTCTGCATTGGTGTTGCCATCAGATATGAGTCTTCGTCCAGATTCGACCACACCATTGATCTTTTCTTCATTGGCCTCCATGGTGGTGAGGAAGTCCTCGTGTTTCTTGATGGCCTCCACAGCCCCTTGCAGGCTGGAGGGCATCTCTGTGTGTGACAGAACATACTCCTGCGGGCAAAGAGAAAGGAAACTGGTTTATTAGCTCTCATTATGGTTTCATCCACCAATCAAGAGTCATTATTTGCAACTTATTCAACTGAAACGGGGACATTCCCCAAAAGATAGCAAGGCAGAATGTTTTACTATAATATTAAACATTTAGTTGTATAGGAACCAAGTGTAAAACAAGAAGTATCGCAATCACACACCTGGCTATTGAGGAAGCCCTCTGCCTGTTTTGCATCTCGTAGCAAGGTTTGGAAATCAAAGGCCTGAGCGAGGACACAGTGGCGGCTCTCCCACATTCTCCTCAGCTCATGCCAGCCAGTGTCCAATGCTTGCAGCCGCTGGGCTAGGAACATGTGCTGGGCATCCGTCTGTCCTTGAGTAACCTAAACAAGCCAAGACAATTCAAAGATCATTTACTTAAATTATCCTTACAACAACTGTTTTCAGCTATTTGTCAAATTTCAATAAAATATGCACTGTCATTCAAAGGTTTGAGGTTAGCAAGACATTTATAATGTTACATATGATTTCTGTTTCAAACAAGTGTTGTTATTTTGAGCTTTATATTCATCAAAGAAACAAAAAAATGTATCAGGGTTTCCACACAAATATTAGACAACACCATTGTTTTCAAGCAAATCAGCATATTAGAATGATTTCTGAAGGATCATGGGACACTGAAGACTGGAATAATGACTGCTGAAAATCAGCTCTGCCATCACAGGAATAAAATACTTTTTAAAAAACAGAAAACAAAATAGAAGTTGTAATAATATATACTGCATTTTTTAACAAATAAATGCTGTCTTGGTGAGCAAAAGACATCTTTCAAAAACAAGACATTTTACAGACCACAAACTTTTGAAGAGTAGTATTAATGAAGTTTTTTAAACTTCACACTAACTGACCTCAACTCCAGTGGCTCTCATCTTCTCATAATCTTCCCTGTAGTTATCTACTTCATTCTTTATGGCCTCATGTTGAGCCAGCAGACACTCTGCTTCTGCCAGAGATGTAGGCGTGTCTTCGGATGCCACAGTGGTCTGTGTACGAGACAGCCAGGCCTGGAAGCCATCAAGATCTCTAAGGAAGCCCTGAAGCTTAGAGGCTTCGCCCAACGACTCCTCGCGCCGTTTCATGGTGGCTCGAAGCTCCTCCCACACCTCCTGGATTTCAGCCAATCGACCCTTGATCTCCTCCTGCTGCTTGGGGTGCTCAGACACCAACTTCTCTGCCTCACAACGCAGGTCATCCAGCTTACCCTGTGGAGAAGAAAGCAAAAGAGAATGAGTAAGAGAAAGGATGAAGCGACAATGTCTTTACAGTTGAATTAGACTTAATGATGCGTTGCTTTTTACCTGTATAGCCTCCAGGTCTCTTTCCATACCAGTGAGTTTACGCTGCAGGGCCATGACTCCAGCCAGGTCATTTCCAAGGCTCTGCGTGGACTCGATGACCTTGGTCTTCTCCTTCATCCAGCTCTTGATCTCATTACACTCTAGATGATAGTTCTGGATATTCAGTGCTGATTCCAGAGCTTGTTTACGCTGGTCAGATAGACTCTGGAAATCAGACCACCTGCAGAAGAGGATAAGGAAGGAGAAGCATGAGGCCATTTCTGTGTGAATCTGATTATTTAACTTTATGAACCTTCTTTGCGTGTATTTGTGTTGAGTTGGGTCTTAGTGTTGTCAATCTGCTCTTTGTGTTGGTGAATATACCTCTTATTGAGTTGGTTCTGTGTCTGGTCGATCTGCTCTTTGTTGCGGTTGTCTGATCCAAGCAGCTGTTGAGCCACTTGATTGACATCAGAAATGCGAGCACCCAGTGTGTTCATCTCTGGCTCCAGAGTTTCAAACCTTCAGTCGAAACAAAACAAACCATAGTACACCAATATATGCCATATCAATAAGATTAACAAAACAAAACTCACGCAGGCATAATTTTATTAGTTCTCACCTTTGCTGGACCACCTCCAGATCCTCTAGTTTGGTGGGAATCTCCATGTTGTGCAGCCACTGTTCTTTCTCTCCAACCCACTGCTGGCAGGCACTAGCTTCACTAAACATGCGATACAACGCAAGCGCTCCATCTAAGGCCTGTCGCCATGATGACGACAACCCCTCTAACTCTTCATAGCGCTGCTCTATTGCTGGGAGACGGCCCTCCACCTGTTGAAGAACGAGAGAGATATATATTATGGCTAACATACACTCCCATTCAAAAGTTTGGGGAAATACATTTTTTTTTAATGTTTTTGATAAAGTCTCTTATGCTCGCCAAGGCTGCTTTTCTTTAATCAAAAACAGTAAAACTGTGAAATATGATTACATTTTAAAATATGTTTTTTCTATTTTAACATATTTTAAAATGTAATTTACTCCTGAATTTTCAGTAGCCATTACTCCAGTCTTCAGTGTCACATGATCCTTCAGAAATCATTCTAAGATGCTGATTTGGTGCTAAAGAAAATATTTTGTGCTGTTTAATATATTTGTGAAAACTGTGAAACTTTTTTTTCATTAGAACAGCATTTTTTTGAAATGGAAAACTTTTTTAACATTATAAATGTCTTTACTGTCACTTTTGATCAATTTAGCACATCCTTAATGAACAAAAGTATTAATTTCTTTCTTACTGACCTCAAACTTTTGAACAAGTATTAACAGCAGTCAGTCAATTCAAATATATAAATAGTGGTTAATATTGCTTGTCAATTTGTAGTTAATGCCTCATTTTTTTCTTACGTGTATGTGTTTTGTGTACCTGTGGAGACTGTGCGTATGCTTCCGGCAGTGTTGAGGCCTGTTCATGTAGTGAGTCGATGAGTGATCGGTGACTTTGAATCTCCTCCTCCACCTCTCTCTGCTTTCTGGCCAGAGTCTGTGTAGAAAACTCATCGTGGCCAACTTCTTGACTAGACACCTACAAACAGAACACACAAAAAAACAAAGATTCAATCTGGTGACTGAACTCAGCAACATAACTACACCATGATAAATTCTTCTGGACAAACAGTCAAGTCAGTAATAGCAAACAGTCTGTTAAAAATATAATATTTGTGTTTGTTTTACCAGTCTTAGTGTTTCCAGTATCCAGGCCTCCATGTCGTTGCCGTCTGTCTGGAACTGATGGAAAGCTACAGACTCTATCAGCCCCTGCTCACGCAACTGTGAGGCCTGGAGAAAAAGAATGTGAAATGTGGTGTAAGACTGTGAAAGAGACACATTACACTTTGAAGTCTGAGCCATTCTCTGTTGCTTTACCTCCTCCAGGTGCGACCACTGTGCTCTCACGTCCTTGATTCGCTCTGTCACCTCAGGTGCCCCATAGTGGCCTTCCTTCACTAGGGCCTCTCCGCCTGCAATGCTGTTCCCCAGAGGGCCATACCGGGCTGCCATCTCATCTCTGAAGGCCTCATGTTTAGACAGGAGGTGAAGAGCGGAGCTCAAGTCCTTTCCGTAGTCCCCTCCAGAAAGGATCTGCTCCTGCTCTCTGATCCAGGCGGCCTCCTCTCCCAGCTCCCATAGGAACTGCCACAGCCTTCGCGAGTCATCTAGTCGAACTCGTCGATCCGCAGCCAGCTGGCTCAGTTCTCCATACGCTCGGCCCAGAAGATCCACCTTCTCTTCAACCAGAGTGGGGTCACATGGCTTATAACCTAAAAGAGAGGACAACCAATTGTGTTTTAATTTTGAGCTTACAACAATCACATGTTCGTGTATGTACAGGGAATATCCTCACTCTGTTCATTTGAAGTAAATCTCTTCGCAGCAGCCTGAACGGCTTTGACTCGCTCGGCCTGTGCGGATATATCAGCTTCCACAAGTGTGTGTTTTTGCAGCAAGTCCTCCACATCATGAAGGTGTTTTCCACTGTCCTGAGATTGCAGACGACTCTAAACACACAAATAAAAACACGCATAATTTGCTGTGGACAGCGATCTCCAAGGACAAATCTGTAAGACATTACAAACATTACAACATGCAGGGAGCTGCATGGCAGTGCTAGCAGGTAAGCAAAAAAAGTTCAGGAGAAAAAAATTAAATAATAATTCTAAATAAAATATAATAATAATAATAATAATAATAATAAAGAATGATCAAATTTTACATTACAATTCCATTCTTGTCTAAACAATAGTCAGATATCATGAGGTTAATCACAAATTATTTTAATTGTAAGATAAAAAGATCAAAATTTTTCAAATATTCATAATATTTTATAAAAACGTATTTTTCACAGTTTAAATGGGTCTTTATACATGAAATTGCACCGATATCTTTATATTTTAAGAATGAGGTCTTGCACAAGAGAATCATATTTTGGGGCCCATCCAATTTCCGAAAAAACAAACACAAACAAACACTATTTTAGCAGTGGAAAATAAAATGTTGGTCTGAATAAGTGGATAGTGATACCTTCATGTCTTCCATCCAGTCCATGATGTAGCTCATCTCCTGTAGAAGGCGCTGCAGGTCTCTGTGTGCATTCAGCCTCTCTCGCCGTGCTGCAAGTAGTTCCTTCAGATACTCCCACAGTCTAAGGACGTTATCCCTCCGTGCCAGTATGCGGCGCACTTCATGATATCCCTCTGCCTCCAGTTCTCGAGCAACAGCTTCTACGGTTGCTACGCGCTCACCGTACGCCTGGATGTCGGTCTCGATGGCCTCGTGTTTGCGAGTGGCTGCTTCCACAGCACCCAGGTCAACACCAAAATTGTCCTAAAGGGTACAACAAAGTTTTATGTTACTCATCATCCCACATTAAACCATAAATATTTTTTTCAGTGTTAATCTACGTCACCTGTGAGACCAGCCGCTGGTTTTCGCTGAGCCAGGTTTCTCTCATGGCTGCTTTGCGGTCAAAACGTGCAGCCAACATCTCCAGCTTCTCCTGACGAATCAGCTCATTTCTCAGTGCCAACTCCCTCTCGTGTTCCGCTTTCTCCAGCCTCTCCCATGCCTTTTCAGACAAACAGCAAACACAGCTGGCCATGAGCATCACTCAAAACTCAAGTTATGTTTGTGTAGCTTCACATGTAGAGGAGCATTTGATGTGTATATACCTTGTTGATATCAGAGATGAGTTTTCCCTCTCTTGGCATGTAGACTTTCTGATTGTTTGCTCTCATTTTACTCTGAATGGTGAAGAGCAAAACCTCCAAATTTCCCTTTTCAGTGAATCTGTCAAACATACAGGATTAAAGCAATGTGTCTAGAATGACTTCTGGACATTAAACGTGTAAAGTCAACATAAAAATCCTGTTTGCAGCCCATTTTACTCCTGTAATGTGACCCCTGTAAACCTGATTTTATCCATCGGGAATTGAATGGATGGTGAAAATTGGGCGCTACATATCACAACTGAGCCAGACTGAATGCGAGTTTGCTAAAACAATGCCTACACTAGCTATTATTAAACATTATCCAACACGGCAAACAATTATATTCTTACTCAGTATTTTTTTATAATTTTCCAATACAAATTTCTTTCATTCTTAAATCAAGACACATTTACTTGAGAAGCTAAATGACTTAAAAATTTATCAAAATTATATACCCAATGGGCTAAAAATTAAAAGACAAATCAAGACCATTTTATTTTTCTTACCCCACTGGAAGATTTTTATTTTTTGTAAACATAAACTCACTTAATTTTGAGTAATCACTTTAGTATTTTGAGTAGGGATGTAACGATTCACTCAACTCACGATTCGATTCGATTCACGATTTTATTTTGTTTTTTACAAAATGAGATTTAAGACAAATTATAAATTAAATGTGTCCTTTTATTATTGCTTGGACAAAATGCTGCACATTTCTTTGTGAAATTGAAATATAACACTATAATAATATACTAATATAGCACTTGCATATTATTGCTCTTTTGTTGGTTTTGATTGCTTCTATCGTCCTCATTTGTAAGTCGCTTTGGATAAAAGCGTCTGCTAAATGACAACATTTAAATATAATGTAAATGTAAATAACAAAACTAAATTGAAAATTTAAAACAAGCCCCAAATCAAATAAATAAGAAACACAAATAAAAGAAATCTCTTCATATAAACAAACTAAGGCTTTGTGTGTGCTCTTTCCCTTTAAAATTAGAGGCAACCACTGCATTTTAATCTTGATCCAAACAAAGATGCTGTATACATGCAACACGAGCACTTTTTAATCTAAATTAAATTGTATAATTTCGAAATTTGAAGCAAAAACAGAATGGTTTGACTTCAGTTTTGTGAAACTATACATAAAAATATCTGCATGAAACAGCAGAGCTGAATGAGACGCAGATTACCTCTCTGCCAGCAGGTGGCGCTTAAAGCGTTTCCGCTGT